CTCGCGGCAGTTTGACCCCCCACCCCCTGCCGCCGCAGGTCCACAACGTGAAATCATTTTGCTGTTGTACGCTACAAAAACAAACTCCCGCAAATATGCGTCAAAAGATAATGGCTGACGTTTCGCGAAATGGGAACACTCACGGCCGGGTCCCCACTACGCCGCGGCGTTTATTTTTAATAATCATGTGGAAACGGGATTGTCTGAGAGTGAAAATAAACGCGCTGCGGCTGCAGGTTCAAGTTTTGTTTAGACGTGAGCCCCATGTGTGTGCACGTTGTGCTCAAGCGACCATGCGTGTGTGCACGATGCTGGACGCGTGCGTGCACGATGCTGGACGCGTGCGTGCACGATGCTGGACGCGTGCGTGCACGATGCTGGACGCGTGCGTGCGTGCACGATGCTGGACGCGTGCGTGCACGATGCTGGACGCGTGCGTGCACGATGCTGGACGCGTGCGTGCACGATGCTGGACGCGTGTGTGCACGATGCTGGACGCGTGCGTGCGTGCGTGCGTGGCGTGCGTGCGTCCACGCGCAGATGTCCGAATGAGCAAAGATGTTGAGGCCAGTGTGAGAGGCCCATCTGCTCCAAAGCAATCCTTGTCTGGGCCACTGTTACTTCTAGAGCAATCGCAACTCACGAATGATAAACCCTCGTGGACAGGCCACCCTTGGGGAGCTAGATCTAAACAGGACACGCACGTGGAGGAGGAGGTGGAGGAGAGGGCAAGGGGGAGGGCAATTGCAGGAAATTAACGTTCTGAAGCCAATTTACCAAGAGCTTCACCTGCCCTGCGTCTCCTCTGGCAGCGGCGGCGGGAAACTCAGACCAAAAGGAATTCCGACAACTGACAAGTCCCGAGCAGCTTGCACGATCCTGTCTGCGAGCAACGACTGACGAGATTTATTATTATTATTATGAATTTTAACTAAGTATGAAAGGATCCGAGTGAGTCACTGCAAGTGCTGGGGCTTTGCCTGCACAGGATCAATAAGTGGAGGTATGCGAGCTATTCGTGCTCTGCAAGAACTCACGGCGAAGAGACGTCCCCTCTCTCAGCCGAGGTCTGGCAGACGTGAAACATCCTGGGCTGAAGCCCTGCCGATGCACCGAGTTACCGCGATGCATCGTTCGCGTGACTTTGTTTGGCTGTGTTATCCACGGCCATTTCCACTGAATCATGCATTCTGGGAAACCCTACTCTGTCAGACATCGCCACGCTCGTTTCCATAATTGAGAAATCCTTTTGCCGTGACCGTTCGATAGCACCGAGCCACGCCGTTGACTAGAGGTGCTCATAAAAGCAGCCTGCAGTAAAACTGTTCACGTTATTGAAGAATTTGATTTAGATTATTCACAAATTAACACCTTTGACAGTGTTTACTTTGGCAAAAGTCCAGGTCGCTATGCACAACTGTCCACAGAATAAAACAGGACTTTGAAGAGCTGTCAGCTGGAAAAGTTGATTATTCTCAATGTTAAGGGAATAACTAACGCTTTATACTTGTAAAAATACATTCACTCCGCGGCATAATTCCATATGACCACAGAGACCCACAACACTGCCGGTCCCCATCTCATAAAGGCAACCACCAAATGTATATATTGAGCGTGCTTGCACGCAGCAACCGCCAAACAAAGCCCGTTTGTCTGCAGAAGCCTTAAAGGGTAATTTCAAACAAATATTACGCACAGCTATCTTGTGCTGACCATAAATTGTTCCCAGACTTGTGGCATGATTTGGTAAGAAAAAAAAAACACTGCCACATTGGAGCGAAGATAGCAACGTGGACGAGCCTACTGCAAACTCGCAAGTGTCACACAATTCAAGGCAAACATCGGGACCTAAAATATTCCAACTTGATTGTTCCGCAGCGATATATATTACACTGTATAATGCGGGAGATTACCTTTCATGTTAAAATTTTTGTCTAAACCCCAACATCATTCTCTGATTATGTGCCCTGAGGATTGATTGATCGGTTATCGCGGTCACTGCGGTGATCGCGGTGTCTGTGTGTGGTGCGGTGGCGTCGACGGCATTGGTCCAGATGACTTTTTTTCTACACAAGTAGTATGCTGTGCGTATAGCCTGTTTGATTTTCGGCCAAAGATAAACATCAGCAGCAAAATGATATTTGAACCACTCCCTGGGTATGCTCATTATTCACCAACCCGCATGGACCATCGTTCGAGAAGAATGCTAAAGAAGCCCCCACGACCAACATGGATTTTTGTATTTAGTTTTCTTGTCCTTCCCCAGCACCTCCGATTATCACGGTTGGCTACGTACGGTGCGAAATAAGTTCAACAACATACATGGGGAGGGCTCTCATCAAGCGGTAGATTGACAAATGGTTGAAAGTAAAGTTATACGCGGTTCAACTTACAACACAATCCTAAAACATTAAATACGTAAAAAAAACATATTACTTCCCTACGACAATAATATGTATTCCTGACAATATTTGGACTTTTTCCCAATTTCTTGCATAACGTGTTCCGTATGTTTCCAAAGACCGAACAATGCAGTGCTGGTGTCAGCGCTGGATCACAACTCGTTTGAGACAACCGTGACAGCGACTACAAAATAAACGACATAAACGCGAGCACTTGGCTCGGAAAAATAAACCCGAAATCGCTTTGAGCTGCCACAGTAATTGACGAGCTATTTTTGTAATTGAATATACGGCAATCGTTTCTGCGTAACGCAAGACGCTCGTGGCACTGCCGTTGAAAGATGCGATGAAAATTCTTTCATCAGCCATCATTTTGGGTTTTCCCAAATTTTCCCACAAAGTGGATCGGAGCGCCAAATTGACTGCGAAAAGTCGGAGATAGACAGAAGGAGGGAACAGTGGGCGAGCCAGCCGCACTCACAGCTGGAAGAGATTTGACAAGGCCTTCCGTTTTATCTTCCTCTCCTGCATGTACCTCCGAGTCACTCGTGCTGCCCCCCACTCATCCCACGCCGACACTGTCGGTGTTTTTCTTTAATTCGACGAAAAAATGCCTTCAGCGGCGGTGCCAATCTTTGTTGGTCGGTGGTAATTCCACGTTCGTATGTATGCATGTTGAACGAAGTAGCCAACAATGCTGATCGGAGGTGCGGGGAAGAACAACAAACAAAACACAAAAAATATTGTATGGTCAGAACAAATATCGGACAATTGCTGTTGACTCTCCAACTGTTGGTGTTCTTTTCACTGATTTTAAAATGGTTGATGACGATGATGATGGCCTTCATTTGAGCTGGGTCTTTCTGGGTTGGTGGCCCCGATAAATATTACCACATCCAGCCCACCACATGCAGTATACTTTTTGGTAAGCCCGTGGCGACTAGCCACGTGCTGCACTACTCAAAAATCTATCAGCAACCTTGAACATATTAAAAGCGAAATCAGGCCCTTCCTGAGTCAACCGTGACTGCAAATCAAATGCGTGTGCTCGCAACTGGGAGGGCTACTTTAACAAATGAGCCGCATCAATTGGGTTATTCATTAATATTTTTAATTCGTCACATATTTATATGATTTAAACCTCAGCCTTGGTCTGCACTTCGCTGCAACCAATTTAAAGCTCCCGTTAAAACAATCACGAACTTTAAAATCTTTGTCGAATTAGCATCTGCGGACGACTTCAGTGGATGGTGTGAGGGGGTGTGTGGTGGGAGTGGGTGAAGCTGTAGCGCAGTGGTTAGTGCACTCCGCTACAAACCCCGCGACCTGAAATTCATTTCCGACCATGGCTCCTGTCAGTGGCGAGTGACATCTGAACCAATGCCTGGGGCTCCCCTATTTCACCAACCAGCACCTGACGACCAGCGTGGTAAAGCACGGTCAAACAACCCCCCATGACTGACGCACCATGGGGGGAAGGGGGCCTTCAATCTAGCAAAGCATTGGCACATTACGCATTTATTTATTTAAAACGGGAAACGAAAATGCAACGCTTTAGGTGTTTTCATGCAACCATCCACAGGCCTGTGCCCATCCCTCCTGCTCAGCCCCTCAGGAAGTCACCGCCTCACCACAGGCCGGCCAGCTGGCTGCTCCGAGACGTGCTATTATGCACCCACATCTATGGGACCGCAAGCGCCATTTATCATCTGCCAACTTGGAACATTTATCATTTGCCAAGGTGGCTGGCTCTCATCTGCAGGATTCTATTATCCTGGGCTCCTTCCCGCTCCATTTTCCACTCTCACTTTGCGAGCTCCCAATTGCAGCAGCCCGCCCACATCCCACCTCGGCCGATGTCCCATCTCTACCCGCGCGTGCCCAGCCACTGCCGCCACCGCTACCACCCCTCTGCCCCTGGCCCCTGCCTCAGCACATGCTCCAGACACGACCACGACCACATAGAGAAGTGCTCATGGCTTGGAAAACAATGCGCGGCTCCATTGCTACGGATGGCCCTGCAGATTTGACCTGGAAGCACGTGTGTGTGTCAAGAGGCAGTTTTGAGGATAAGTAGTAGGTATTAGAATGGACCATGCTGCTTCCACTTACAGACTGAGTACTCACATAGACCTGCCTCACATCTCAAAGGGGTTGTCCTTGCATAGGGTATTATTCATGACTCCTTGAGGATTTGAAATTATGCGACGAATATCAGGGTTATATCCCGTCAGGTGGTGCTGTTGTTTGAGTGAATGTCTCGCAATCAGAAGGTTGCAAGGTCAAATCCCTGCAAGGAGGCGTGGGGGTTGATTCAGCCCAACATACTCCCTGTGGCCCACACAACGTATACCGCCGTTGTAGGCGGTCAACAGCGATCTTTCCTATGGAGTGACTCTTCCCCGTTTTAACAATGTGTCGTTTCCACCAACGATTCGTGTCTGTCAAAAGGAGATGAACACTGCTGTCATGGCCCTGTGAGCTGGACATGAATCAGATTTGGTTTGTATTTGATCATTTTTGTTATTTTTCTAAGAGGGGGGATATAGAACGGCTGCAGTTTAGGGGGTGGTGGGGGGGGGGATGGCGAATGCTCACCGGGGGTCCTCGGGGTCCGATGATGGATAGCCCCGGCTCCCCAGGGGACCCCTGCAAGCAGAGCGACACGGTCAGCGTTTCCACGCTCTGGTGGCACCGCTCTCAGCGCGCCCAGCGAGTACCGAGCGCCGTGCGAAGCCGCCGCACGCGGCCGTCACGCTTGGCGCCCGCGACTCAAAAAAAAATTAAAAAGCAAAAAAAAATAACAGCGACAGCTGGATTTAATAAACGGGCGAATAAACCGGCGACGTGAAATAAATTGCTCTCGTTATTCATTACAGGACAGCGAACAGCGTGGCGTCGAGTCAATCGCGCCGAGGCATCGGACGGGTTGACATAGCACCAAGCAGATTGTCGAGCGGCGTTGATTTGTTTTTCGTCAGCTGGATAACGGGCGGCTTCGGAGGGATTTTTCGTGACGGGGTATGAGATATATGCCCGACAATGTCAGGTTAACGCTACCAAGGGAGAAGGGGGGGGGGGTGGGGGGGGGAGAAACAGCCTCCTCGAAATCACGGGCAATTAGAGAGAAGGAATCTGTCACAGGGTTCGCAGGCACTCGAGCCAGAATTAGGGAAATTAAACAAAATCCCGGAGCGGGAAGACAGGACGCACCGCCCCGACAGATTTTGAATAGATGCGGCCGATTTGGCGCGCAGGTGGGAAGCTTCTCGAGATCGAAAACTCATTTCGTGAGCACTGCTTTTTGTGCTTCGTTTGTTGTCCTTCCCCCACACCTTCGCTTTGCACGGTTGGCCACGTGCGGCGTGAACGAAGCTCATCATACAGTACCGTACGTTCTCATGCCAGTGGTTCCGTGGCGAGGAACTCACCAAGCCAGCCCCACAGGCACAGTGGACGAACTATCGCCGGCTCTAACATCGGATCTTTCAATGACCTGGATGTGCTCGTCTGATTCAGAGCTCACGACGCGACATTAGCCACGCGTCCCACAGGCGCCGCTGAGCGGGCGCCGTGCGAGCGCAGCGACTCCGTGGGGTGAGCACCGAATGTCTACCTGACTGGTGCGTCGCAACAAAAGCACCCGAAGCTAAAGCATTGCGCGTATGTGTTTCGTTTGTAATGCACGGCTGTTAATAACACTGCTACGTATATAATACGGTGCATTCTGAGCTATTGCACGTAGCTGTAACAAATCACATTTCCCTTCAAGCAGTAGCTGTAATTAAATATGCGAAAAATGCAACATTACCGCCAAACTGTATAACGAAGTGAAAACTTGAAGCGGTCCAAATTTAATAAAGGCAACTATTAAACAAAACAGAGCAATTAATTTTGACTGCAGCCATCGAGCACGTGGTAGCAATAGTGTACGTTGTTGTAATTCCAAAATGTTTGGACATCCGTGTACACAAGCACACACACACACACACGCAATCACGCGCACTAGCACGAGCGTACGCGTGCACGCGCTCACAAGCGCACGGTAGCCGTGCGCCGAACAATAGCGCTGCTGCACCGGAGCGAAATTGCAGCTGGAGCGCCTGGCTAGCTTCAAAAGCCACTCCACCTATAGGGCTGCCCCACGGCACAAGCCAAGCCTGCACCTGGGATTAGCGGGGAAGGGGGTGAAGGGGGGGGGGCTGAGTGGAGTTGTTGGTGGGGGGGGGGGGGCAGAGGCAAGGGCAGGTTGAGCCGTGAGCGAGCTGCCACCGGTCGGGCAACCCTAGGGGGGAGCCGCGGTCAGGAATGGGTTTTGTTGAAGCCGCATTTCTGATTTTTTTTTTCATTTGCCAATTACATCTGTACAAGTATTGAGCCCCAGGAGTGGGTCGCGCTGAAAGTCGCTCGAGACTCGGCAGTGGTCGTTATTGAGTCATAATTCAGAACATGCCGATGTCGTGCATGAATGATCGACAGTTTTAGAATTAAAAAAAAAATCGCAGTGAGGGATGGCATCTTAATGAAGCCTCTCAAAGGACATGCTCCCTGGCTAACGAGGCCAGGGGTGATGATGAGAGAGAAAACGCAGCGAGGGCTAGCAGCTCATCGATACTCGATGATGCACTTGGTAATTTGCAAGTGTAAATGTATGCACGGAGTGTGTACACCAAACACTATTGTGTACGCAGAACTATGGATGGAAATACGCATAGCCACCGGGTCTGGTGTAACCGCACAGGTGTTTTGCGCTTCAAATCGAATGCGTCGCGCAGGGATATTAAAACCCCAGCAAGAACTTTGGTCACCTGATAACCGAATCACCCTAAAATGTGCCTGCAATTGTGTCAAATCTTCGCAGCGAAGCAGATTTGAGCCTGCTTGGTCCTTGCATTGGCGACTGCCAAGGCTTGCCAGCTGTAAGGGCTTCGACGTGCGGCCACGAGGTGGTAACGCCGAGCGTCACCCCCCTCCCACGCCGAAAACGAAACGTTCGTCAAAGGCGGTGGCCAAACATCGCGGCGAGCACGGACCCCTCCTGCAGAGGAGGCTTGAGACTCGGCGAGGCCATCCCGGCCAAGTCATTTCACTTTCACCTCGGGGAGCTGTGGCCGCGTTCACTTTGGGCCGCGGCGGCCGACGCCTCGCTCGCGAATCTCACAAAAGCCGCGTCCCGCGGGGCTCCCCCCTCGGCCCCAGCCACCCCCAACCCTGTGCGGCACCTGCGGGTTCACCGTTTCTCCGACCCTCCCCGACCCCTCACCACCGCCCCTCAACTCCCCTCGCCTAACTCTCCCCCCGACACCCCACACCCCACCCACCCCGTCCACGGCCAGCAGCCCCGTGTTGATGGTTTATTATGATGAATGCGACTTGACGTGCTAAACGCGCCCGCGTCAGGCCGCATTCATCACGGGAGGGCATCTTCAAAGCGTGGCAGGCAGGCAGGCAGGCAGGCGCGCGTGCGCATTTTTTTTTTCAGTGGGGGGGGGGGGGGGGGGGCGGGTGGAGGGTTGGTTAGGTAATTCGTAGCAGAGACGGCTGCGTCTGGGGGAACCGAGCGGTGCCGCACTCACCTCCAAGAGCCTCGAGTTTCCCCCCCCCCCTCCCACCCCCGCCCCCCGCTCGAGCTCGTACACTCGCCTGCCTCGGGTCTGATATTCACACCGCGCCCCGAGCCCCTTGCGGGCCACTCAGAGCTATCGCCGCTCCCTCGCCCTCTGTCTCCCGAACGTGTGACCAACTTCCATCAAAAGCGCAAATTCCTGCACGAGATCTGCGGCGGCTTTTGAGCGCGACTGCTACCCCGTCGGGATAGGCCCTGGTCTGGGCACGCATGCACCGGGCCAGCCCTCGGGGAGGAGACGTGCGCTGTAACCGTATCGGCCGTTCCCCGCCTACGTGCTTCCAACGCCTTCAGATTGACGAGCTCGGCGCGGCGACGTGTAAAGATGCCGATGCGGCGCGTGCGGTTGTCGTTAAGAGTTTGGGTGGTGACTTAGAGGAAGAGGGGATGGAGGAAATCAACGGCTCTGATCTTGTGGCCACACGTCTCGGCTGTATGAGACCTGGGCTGTTGGAAACACGTCTGAAGCTTCGCTCATGAGGAAAACAAATTACTTTCAAGTGACTTTGAGTTACACCACTGCGGTGGCACGGCAAAGGCGTGTTTTAATATCGGTAACGCAACGTTGATGCTGAACTCGTGTCAGGCAACCCAGGTCACGTGGCCTAAGTGTGAATCTGCACAACAATAGGAGCTGTTTGTGTGCTTGGTTTATACATCTGCCTCTGATATCACTGCCAACGATGTGACTCTCAACGCAAGCAATTTCAAGAGGAATCAATTCCATCATCGTCATCGTTCGTTTCAATTAATCTGCTCGCAAAATTATTCGCAAGGCAGAAATTGAGCCAAATTTTCCGTGCCAAAACGATTTCGTGGGGAGGCCCTCACTCATCCAATCGTGAATTGACAAATGAGTTTTTTATTTATTCCTGGCCTCATTCCCGGGATGCCCCTTTCGAGTGTTTGGGCGAGGGGGCTGCCTTTTGCCGGCCACTGTCCGCGAACCCCCGGGAGTGCTCACCTTTTGTCCGACGTGCCCCTGTGCGCGGTGGGAAGGACACAGCCACATGCAAGTCAGGCCATCAGCGGGGGAGAGGGACACACAAAACACAGCGCGTTAGTGCACGCACGCCAGCCTGCCAGCCTCTCAGCCAATCCACTGTTATTGTGCACACTCCCCTTGCCTCTCACGCTCCCTCTCCTCTCACACTCTTTCACATGTCACACTCTCGCCGTATCTCACACTCTCTCAGCTACTCATAGACGCGCACACGTACGTATATATTATATGCAGTCTCCCAGTTGCTCGCCGTCACTTGTTTACTCATTCGCTCATTCTGTCAATTGCGCTCATCAATTCGCTCTGCTAAGAATCCGACTATTCCGTCTCTCTGAGAAGTCGGTCACTGATTTGCCCACAGGTCCAAGACATTCACCTGTTCACCAACTGATTCGCTCATTCATTCACCCACTTGCTCAATCGCTTCCCCACTCATCTCCATTTATCACTCGCGCATCTCACCAGCTCACTGCCTGATGCCTCAAATTGGGCACTGCTGCCTACAGCAATGATTTGCCGACGATGAACATTGTGACGTAAAAAATATATATCCAAGGAAACTGGCAGTGACGTTGGCATGAGCTCTCTATATAGAACACTATACCATTCTCTGTTCCAATCAAAATCAATTGAGGATTCTCAGGTTAAATTATCATCTGCAGTGCCCAACCACTCAGACATCAGACCGGCCCTTCTCACTCGTGTGCGAGTTTGTTGAGGACAAATTTAAGTATCCCCTCCCAATAAATACGGCACTAATTCCAGCTTGGTTAATATAAGGAAAACAAATTGCTTTTCAGACTGCGTCACACACCAGCGAGGAAGAGCCTCAGTATCTCATAACGTGGGCCTCCTATCTCCTGGACTCCACTATGACCTCCCCGGGCCGTGACCTCACACGACATCGAAAAGCAATAAACGCACAGCAGGTGCGGCAAGTAGAGGCAAGATTAAAATGTAACTCGATTCGCAACGACTCCCACAGGCCACACGTGGTGCAGGCGAATGAATAAATTAAAACACTCGCAGCTAAATTACGCTCATTTAGTTCGTGTGGTTTGCAAGTGGTCCGATGTGGCCCGTAATTGCCAGCAACATTCATCTGCGTCATGCAACCTTGTTTTGTAAAAAAAACCCATAAAATATATGTATACATTTAGGACCAAGCCAATTGATGTTGTGGTTCAGAGCACTCGACTACCGATCAGAAGGTTGCGAGTTGAATTAATGGTCGATGGTCGAATTGCTCCAATATTGCTTAGTGGTTGATCAAACAGGTCTTTATAGGTCAGTGAACGGCAGTCGTCTAATACAAAGACGCTGCCCCCCCCCCCCCCGCAACAAAAAGGTGGAATTTCTACGATTGGCCGAGGCCTCCCGATGGAGATGAGCACCAACCAATAGTTGTTCCAGCGGGGGAGAGACACTCTGGAATTTGGAACAAAATTTACGTCGACGCCTGTAATAGGCCCGATGTTCTACGCTGACCTTTAATGAGAGGTCGGTGTGGGGTCGGCACTGGGGAGAGTGAGGTCACGGCGTGGAGGAGGTGCCCATCAGCAAGTTTTGAGATTTACGTCCATGTTGAAAAAAAGCCAGGGTCGAAAGCTCAGTTGGAGAAATTAATATATACGAAGTCGTAACACAATTACCCTGGGAAATGGTTCAACGGTGTTAGAATTAAGCTCATTTGCCAACCGTTACTCGAATAAAATTAATAATGTTAACAAAGCAGAAACAGCGTACGCATGTTCGCGACACGGGTCAATTAGAATGCGCTCATGCTTACGTTAATACAATTTTATAGAGAGACATTTCAATGCTCGTTTACCAGGTGGACCAAAGCATTTAGCTGCTTGGGGTGAGAGCGAAAATTAATAACAAATGCAGCCGGCGGGTCGCAACATTAACTGGTACCGCCACCTGCGAGGCTCAGCTCTGCCTGAGTTTAGCAGGGATGGCACATTGGCAGCACGATTAAAGCTGGCAGTATCACGTTCATTACAAGCAAGGACCACCGGACCCCACAGAAGCACCGATTTCACAACGGTGAAACTCGCTTCACTCCTAGGTCACTTCCGGAAGATGAAGTGCATGGTGCGAGCTGACCCTTGACCTACCGCCTCAGTTTAAAACAGAGAATTTTCACCACAGGATAAGATCGGTTTTTTTTAGAGGAGAAAGAAGCCAATGCCTGTTCACAAGGCCCATGGTTTAAAAATAGGCTTCTCTTTACGTTTGATCAATTTCACAATTGTTTGCGGGAACTATGAAACAAATCCATGCACGCATTCGCGCAAAGAGATGTATCACTCCGACAAAAACCTAGATATTACACTCGGCAGTGGTATAGAAGCACAGCGGAGAAAAGCTCACCACTGACTTGCAGGACGAACATTCACAAACGGCGAACGTCCTGTGCACTGCTACCTCAAAAGTGAGGGCCGCAGCCAAAAATATTCGTCCATTATATATTTATCTGTTGCAGGGCAATGTTGCATGCTGGGATTTCCTGTGCTGTGCTGTGTGTAAACGATCATTTGCTAGAGAGAGAGTGAGAGAGAGCCGCGGGTGCTTCTGCGGGGGGGCGGGGGGGTTTGTTGGTAAGTTGCGGGAAAGCGGCGCACGTCACAGGGGCACTCACCGGGGGTCCCGCGAAGCCGGGGCTCCCTTTGCTGCCCTACACAGGGGGGGAGGGAGCGATCCAGCCACCGCGGCCAACGTCAGCGAACTCTCAACTCACGGGGGGTGGGATGGGGGGTGGGGGGTCCGCGTTGGGGGGGGGGGGGGAGGCGGGGTACCGACACCTCCGCCGGCTCCGTCCACAAAGCCGATGGCTGAAAACAACTTGAACTGTCCGCGGACGGCCGAGGCGGCCGCTGTGAGGTGCTGGGTTTTTTTTTGTTTTTTTTTGCTTGCCACGGACACCGAACAACGGCCGACAGGGACGAGCTGGTTGGGTCGGTCCCGCGGGCCTCGGCACCCCTGCGCGATGGCTCGGCGGTAATTTGTGAGAAGTTCGACCGACAGGTGCTCGCACGTCCAGCTCCCTCCCGAACCGCGGACTCACCGTCACGTGCCGAGGGGCTGACGGAACCGGCGCTGCGGCGATGGGTGAACTCCACGGCGTGCGCATTTACAACTCGCTCGTGAAACCCGCCTGAACACGTCACGCTGCAGCACAATTGTTTTGGCCGATCGCCGCGGTGATTTCTCACCGTCGTCAGAGCTGGAATCCGCTCTGAGCATCGCCTCTCTCAAAAGCGACTGAGCAGCACCATCTCACGCACACACACCCCCCACCCCCACCCCGCTCCTCATCTTCCTCAGCATCTTTAGACGTGCCAGTCTCCCGTCGTTATTTCCACCCAGTACAACAACTCACCCACCCCCCCCCACACCCCCACCCCCGCTCCTTCATTAGGGAAACTCGCGACTGAGATGCATTACTTCAGCGTGCGGACGGGAGACGCGGGGAGAGAGCGAAAGGATTCGGCGAGCAATTCGTGGCGTCTCGCAGCGAGCACGCACTGCAGAAGAAAGCGCTAGAGGACAGGATGGGATGTCATCAGAGAGGAGCGCACAGAGCCCGTCCGGTCGCCTGGCACGGACGTGCGCGGAGTGGAGAGTGCGTGAAGAGAGGACGCGAGCGCAATTGACGCGAGGGATGCGCTTTGAAGAGAAAGAAAACACACAGGGGGCAGGAGGGGAAGGAAACGGGAGGTGAAGTGAGCCGAGGTGCGTAGGGAATGAGGGAGGCAAGGTAGTTGTGCGATTTACCGGAAAACCATCTCTTCCGGGAGAACCCTGCGAAAGGTTGAAAGCAAAAGAAATGAACGTCAAAAATAAACGAGGCATCTTATCAACGTGTTAATGTGTCAAGTTTCTTTTTGGATAGGGAACAGGTACGCAGGCGAAGCTCTTTGTGCCGCGCGGGGCAGCTTTGCTGCGACCTCCGTTTGCGGCACTTCACTGCTGCCCTGCACGCGCTGCGTTCTGCTATGATGATAACCGTTTGCTGTGTATGCCGTGCGACCTGCTGTGCTTCGCTATAGTGCCGCTGCACACACTGCGGTGTGATGCGCCTCCACGACGGCGCTCGGGGCTGCTGTGTCTGCTGCTGCACTTCACAACTCTTCTGCGTGTGGCCGTGGTCTGCTTCGTGGTTCTGTGCAGCAGTGAAAGCGATGCACGGCCGGGGGGGGGGGGGGTGGGGACGAGGAGGGGCGGATGTCAGTCGCTCCACTTACCGGCTTCCCTGCAAAACACACGCACACACAGAAGAGCGCACGGTTAGACGCTGCGACATTCCGCAATGATATCAACCTTTATTTATGAAACACAGAACATTTAAACAATAATAATGATCATTTACAGCCATTTACATATCCACTCAGAGACATCTGTATACTTTGTCAGTCACGTGGGTTGTTTGACCATACTTCACCACACTGGTCAGTGTGGGATTGGTGGAGGGTGGATTGGGGCAAGGAACGGTTCAGGTATCACTCAGCCCTGATATTATTCGTAGCCACGACTCGCCGAGCTTACAGCTTGCTGTGCCAACCAGCAAGGTTGATGACAAACGTGGCGAGTTTGATTTTACAATCTTGTGCTTTCTCACCCGTGGCTTCGCAGCTCAGGGCAAAGAAAAATATTTTTGATTCCCCGAGTGGCTGGGGACAGTTGTATGGACGAGAGCAGAACGGGTCGTCCCCACTCCGTGCCCAGCGACTCTCACGGCCCCTCCCCCCCTGCCCCCCCCCCCCCACCCATGCCCGCTCCCCCGCCTGCCCAACTCGGAGCCGTGTGTCCGGCAGGGCTCTCTGGTTTCAGTGACCACTCGCACAACAAAGGAATTCCTCGCCGGCCTTCGACAAACTGCATCAGCGGCAGCAGCAGCAGCAGCAGCACCAGCCGCCGGACTGCCCCCCCCGCCCCACTCCCGGCCCACGCCCTCCCCCCCTCTCCGCGGCGTCTCGCTAGCGCCGGGCATTAATTGTGCTGACAGATCAAATCGTGCGCGGCACATGTCGCGGCGGGGCCGGCTGGGAGCGAGCGTTTTCGGTCCGGTGCCTCGCGCGCTCTTCGGCATGCTCAGCACGGCTCACGCAGCGAGACGGATCCGATGCCTCGCCGGGTCCTCCCTCTCCCCGCCGGTACTGCGCCCCCATCCCTCACCCCCACCACCCCCACCACCCCCCCCCCCCAAAAAAAACCACAATCCAACCAACACCCCAAGCCAAAAACACCGCGACTAATTAACTGCACGCAAAAGACTGCTTAGAGATAACAAGAGGCACGATTGTGACAGATCAGCCCTGCCATCGCACCCCGCATGTCACGTGACGTCGCCCTACTGCGTGTTAGAAATGGACACGATACTGTGGAGCCAACGCAGCTTGCCGGGGTCGCGTGCCAGACCACGCCCCCCGCCCCCCCCCCACCCCCATGACTCCTTCCTGCCCAAGTTCCCATGAAGAATCGATTTTCTGGGCGAGCATTGTCGCTGGTTCTCAGTTGTGCGTCTCCCTTTTGATTTGTCTTCATTCTATTCTTGGGTCTGCGGCAAAGCCACGCACCGAAAGACCCAAAGAATATGAATTCCTGCGGCCACGAAACCTTTGAGTCAAGATTTGTCTTCATTATTTCACCTCTTGGACCCGGTGTATTTGGCAGAATCCTAGGGAGGAGCGATAACTTCAACGCCGCCGTTAGTAAAATCGCACTCGCTTGAAGGGAGCGGCACCTCTCCTCTGTCGAACCACTGGTGACATGACTCGCAATGGCCCAGAATTCCCACTCGGTCATTACATTTACACCCTCTACACAGGAATAAACACAACTGTACGAGCAGCAATATCTTCGGTTACTTCCGCCGTTACTTTTCGTCCAACAACTTATTTATATTTTATTTCGCCTCCTTAAAAAAAAACCCCCTCTAATCCAGCCGCTACTAAATTGGTCCTGAGCAGTTGTGAGGCCCTTGGGCTTCCCCCCGCCCCCTCCCCCCGGCCACGCATCACCGCCGCCCATGCCAGCTTTCCTAATTGGGCGGCAATTAAAGAAAACTTGTGCACCGAAAGTCCGCGGCTCTCGGCACACGCTCCTGGATCTCCTCCGGTGGCTATCGCTTTACCGGAAGCCTGCAAAACGCGCTTCTGTGCAGCGCCAAGCGCGAGCCTCATGTTACCGCTGTCTCCCTTTCTCCGCTGCTATATTTATGCATGGCACTAGAAGCTGGCGAGCGGCCAAGCGCCTGCGCTCGTCTATTAAGAAGCCAATATTTCAAACAAACTTATCACCTCTGACACAAAGGGGCTTTGAGAAACGTCTCTATTTTTAAACCACGCCGCACTGATCATTCGACAGCTAGCGCGGAATGACGCCGTGAAAACTCGTTAAGGGGTTAATTAAAATGATTAACAAAAACAAACTCGAGCGACCGAGGGAAGGGAACAGCTTGTCATTGATGTCGTTACGCAGTAGGGACGAGCGCCGTTGAACCCAAACCCACGGATATTCTCAGGGTTCTTGGGAGGCGGGGGGGGGGGCAGTGGTACAGCGGGGTGTGATGATGAGACTCGACACTCATAACACTTCCCCTGCAAACATTTCTCTCGTGACTTTAATATTACACAACATCACTGCGGACCATAACCACGATCGTTTAATGCGCAAACACCGTGAGGCACGCTCAAACGATTACACCTGATGCGTGGCTGGAAGTGAAAAATAAATAAGCGGAGACACAAGTGAGATTCTCAACCCCCCCCCCCCCCACCCCCCGCCTGAACCCACCGTGGTGTATCTCAACCTGCGTTGTGGCGACCCCACACGGTAAAGCTTCCCGTTCATTAACAACCATCAGGTGGGTTGGCAGGTGTGTCGTGGCTTCATTTACATATGACAATAAACGACACCACATGTGCAGACTTTGTTTTCAATCCACTGCGGGATGAATGCCTCCCCATGCCGTGCTGGTCATGGGGGACTTATTTGACTGTGCATTTCACCCTGTTGGTCAGTCTAAGTTGAAGGTGTGGAAACATAGATATAGGAACATAGAAGCACAGTACAACAAATCATTTTCGCTGCACCGCCCTCTGCAGTCCACAATGTTGTCCCGCAGAAACGATTGGTAATAGCAAAAAGGCAGACGGAATGAACATCAGAATCTTCATTTAGACTGGTGGAAGCTGGTGACCTATGAAGCTCTTTGTCACGGATGGTTGTCGCGAGGACCGGAGTGGAGAAAAAACTGAACGACAGGGTGCCGCCCAAACTTGGTACATATTCGCGTGGGGATTTTGCACGTTTGGCTCTCGCTTGCTTTGGGACGTCACGCGCTGTTGTTCGTCGATTCGTCGCCAAGTTTAGCGCTCGCATACCAGAGACACCTCACTCAGAGATAGCCCACTCAGAGATACCCCACTCAGAGATAGCCCACTCAGAGATAGCCCACTCAGAGATACCTCACTCAGAGATACTCCACTCAGAGATACCCCACTCAGAGATACTCCACTCAGAGATAGCCCACTCAGAGATACCCCACTCAGAGATACTCCACTCAGAGATACCTCACTCAGAGATACCTCACTCAGAGATACCCCACTCAGAGATACCTCACTCAGAGATAGCCCACTCAGAGATACCCCACTCAGAGATACTCCACTCAGAGATAGCCCACTCAGAGATACCCCACTCAGAGATACTCCACTCAGAGATACTCCACTCAGAGATAGCCCACTCAGAGATACCCCACTCAGAGATACCCCACTCAGAGATAGCCCACTCAGAGATACCTCACTCAGAGATAGCCCACTCAGAGATACCCCACTCAGAGATAGCCCACTCAGAGATACCCCACTCAGAGATAGCCCACTCAGAGATACCTCACTCAGAGATACTCCACTCAGAGATAGCCCACTCAGAGATACCCCACTCAGAGATACCCCACTCAGAGATACCCCACTCAGAGATACCCCACTCAGAGATACTCCACTCAGAGATAGCCCACTCAGAGATAGCCCACTCAGAGGTACCCCACTCAGAGATAGCCCACTCAGAGATACCTCACTCAGAGATAGCCCACTCAGAGATACCCCACTCAGAGATAGCCCACTCAGAGATACTCCACTCAGAGATAGCTCACTCAGAGATACTCCACTCAGAGATACCCCACTCAGAGATACTCCACTCAGAGATACCCCACTCAGAGATACCCCACTCAGAGATAGCTCACTCAGTGATACTCCACTCAGAGATATCCCACTCAGAGATACCCCACTCAGAGATACCCCACTCAGAGATAGCCCACTCAGAGTTACCCCACTCAGAGATAGCCCACTCAGAGATACTCCACTCAGAGATAGCCCACTCAGAGATAGCCCACTCAGAGATAGCCCACTCAGAGATATTCCACTCAGAGATAGCCCACTCAGAGATACCCCACTCAGAGATAACCCACTCAGAGATACCCCACTCAGAGATACTCCACTCAGAGATACCCCACTCAGAGATAGCCCACTCAGAGATAGCCCACTCAGAGATACCCCACTCAGAGACAGCCCACTCAGAGATAGCCCACTCAGAGATAGCCCACTCAGAGATACCCCACTCAGAGATACCCCACTCAGAGATAACCCACTCAGAGATACCCCACTCAGAGATACTCCACGCAGAGATACCCCACTCAGAGATACTCCACTCAGAGATACCCCACTCAGAGATAGCCCACTCAGAGATAGCCCACTCAGAGATAGCCCACTCAGAGATAGCCCACTCAGAGATAGCCCACTCAGATATACCCCACTCAGAGATACCCCACTTAGAGATAGCCCACTCAGAGATACCCCACTCAGAGATACCCCACTCAGAGATACCCCACTCAGAGATACTCCACTCAGAGATAGCCCACTCAGAGATACCCCACTCAGAGATAGCCCACTCAGAGATAGCCCACTCAGAGATACTCCACTCAGAGATACTCCACTCAGAGATAGCCCACTAAGAGATACTCCACTCAGAGATACTCCACTCAGAGATACTCCACTCAGAGATACCCCACTCAGAGATAGCCCACTCAGAGATACTCCACTCAGAGATAGCCCACTCAGAGATACTCCACTCAGAGATAGCCCACTCAGAGATACTCCACTCAGAGATACCCCACTCAGAGATACCCCACTCAGAGATACTTCACTCAGAGATACTCCACTCAGAGATAGCCCACTCAGAGATACTCTACTCAGAGATACTCCACTCAGAGATAGCCCACTCAGAGATACTCCACTCAGAGATAGCCCACTCAGAGGTACCCCACGCAAAAAAATAATCACGTGAACTAGCAGAGGAAAAGAAAATGAAGGGACCTTTACCACAAACGTGAAACAGTGAACGAATCAATGAATCCGCATGCGATGCGAACAAAAGTAGCCCGAAAAAAAACCACGTTACAATTATGAGGGAAACGCGCCGTGCCAAGAGTGAAAGTAATTCTCAGGTTACTAGGTGCTGTGATTACAGCTGGCTCCATCAGAGCCGCCACCTTTGCCAGCCCCCCGGGCTCCCGACCGAGCCTCGGCGAGCGCTCGGGGGGGGGGGGGGGGGGGGAAGAGGTCTCGGTTCCCGTTAACCGGCGACGGCGCCCACCACCATGAGAACAGGTCCACTGAGCGAGCAAAACTCCACACGGAGAGGGAGCAACGCCGCGGGTGGTGGGTCCGGCGGCGATGGACCGCACCTGTGGCAGGTGCGCACCTGGCTAGCTGGCTTGGGTTGTCACCTGTCCTGGTTTTTTGTTTCCCCCCCCCAGGATTGTCTTGGTTTTGGATCGGTTTTGAAATCGCTCGACAACTGACGTTAACCATGGCCTGGAATCAAACTCAGCTTGGCAAGTTCATAGTGCCTACACCACCGCTCTCCAAGTACACCCATTAAACAACAACAACTGCCATTCGCCACTAAGTAGCGGTGATGTCACCACGGTGACAGGCTATGTACACTTTAAGGCCATGTGAAGTGTCAGCAAGCTTAGTTCGATATTTTTACATGTGTTTTCGTGGTGATTAAATTCAAGGTGGAGGGGTCACCAGCCCCTTGCACCCGTCCACAGCCCAAGTTGGCCGCTGTGGTGGCTACAAGTGCCCATTCGCACACACGATTAACACGTGATTGAGTGGCCATGCATCGGCGCTTGTGAAATGTGCACCGCAACATCTGCCCGGCGATGTTGCGGTGCACACGTCGTTCGTGCCAAACGACACCCCCGGCCACACCTGGGCTCGTCCCCCCCACCACCCTCCCCCCCCCCCCGGTGCCCCCCATATCCCCGACCTGGTTAGGCCAGGAAACTGGTGCATTAGGGAGGAATGCTCAACTCGAACCCGGGCAGCAACTGTAGCCTCGACAAATCCGCATGGCGGCTCCCGGAGGCACGTGCGGCACCTCGAGCGTAGAGGGCCCGACCGGTGGCACACACTTTGTTCCGTTCTCACGAAGATCGGGGAAATTGTGTCTCGCAGATTTCCTTTACGTACCGCTCTATTTCCAGGCAGCAGCTGGGTACACAGGGACTGTCATCGGCATTTTCTGACTACCCCCCCCCCCCCCCCCCCTTTATTTATAGCTCTCGTATTAAAAGGCAATTATCGTCAGGTTACAGGCGGGCCTCGCTTCGGCACTCCGCGCCAGGGCTTCAGCGCGACGTAAATCGCCTGACGAAAGACTTCTTAACACGCCCCAGCAGCAAAATAAACCGCTGCGCCTCCGCCGATGTACGTTCGGCTTCGTGGAGCGAGACACGGACCCTGCGTTCTCTCCAGCCGAAGGAAGGGACGCAGCTGAGAGAAAGCCCACCCATCGCGGGCACAGGTGCTAACTAGGTGGGGGCCTGATTTACATCGCAGCACCCCGGGAGGGATGGCGGACAATTTCGGGGTAGGCCTTCATCATCCAGCAGTGGAGCGATCGTGGCCGACGGCGGTGGATGACCGTAAAGGTGACTACGTCGACTAGCATCGAGGGACTTACTCGTGGGCACCTCCCCTGGCGTGGAGAGGTTTTTGATGGGGGGCAGCAGGGCCACGCAGGGGTTGGGGGGGGGGGCTCGCCCGAGCGATGTTGCGTGAAATTCGCGCTAAAGGAAAGGGGGTGAGGGCTTGCGTGCGCGCGTTTACGTTGGCCTTTGTGTATCCCAAGTAAAATAAAGGGACAGTTTATTTGACAGTGAAAAAAACCACGACGGGGTAAACAGAGAGCGTTTTATAGCGTCAAAAAGACCACGTGCTGGTATTAGTGTTGGCTGCGTGTGGCAATAAAGAAAACATTTCCATTGGTTCATGCATTCAAAAAAAGTTAAGCTAAACCTTTTTGTTTTTCCTCAATTACAAATAAGTAAATATTATATTACACACACACAGTCAAAGATCCACCGTATAGCCTCCAACGGACTGTTGGCGCAAGTGCAGATAGCGAGCGCCTATGATGGCGGGAAATGGCACACTCGGGGGTAGGTGGCCAACACCACATCAGGGACTCATGTAAGGCTGAGTCGTTCAAATTTTCGCAACTGGTGTTGGCCATGAGCGAGTATTGAACTTGGGTCGCCGGGTTCAAAGCAGAGCACACGAAACGCTGAACTACCGCTCCCCACACGCACAAACACGCAAACATATACAGAAATTACATATGTCTAAATGAATAAAGTAATTTGCTCATTCATTAGTTCTCGTGCCAGGCACCACCCATCAGCAGAACGCACACAATTGAATCCTCTAAACCAGGGGTCGGCAACCTATGGCTCGCGAGCCAGATGTGGCTCTTTTGATGACTGCATCTGGCTCGCAAATAAATCTTAGCTGACATTTCTTTAGTTGTATTCAGTGTTAAAAAATATTATATGGCTCTCACGGAAATTTATTTTAAAATATGTGGCTTTCATGGCTCTCTCAGCCAAAAAGGTTCCCGACCCCTGCTCTAAACCCTCGACACCACATTGCTGAATTCTCTGTTCGGGACTTTCTGGTGAATTTGCCATGCTCCCGGCTCGCCACTGCAGCCCGTCCGCCCTCCTCGCGGAAGCTGCTGCAGAACTGCGCCGGGGACACTTGGAATCTCTTGCCGCAACGCTGAAGTTTGGTCAATTAACCCGCGTGGCAAACAACGGCATGGGAGGTTCTGATCCAGCAGCGGACGAGGACACGCGTACAGCGGAGCTGACGTGCAGTGTTTCGTGGACCGCACTGTAAACTCGACCGCCCAGGTTCGATTCCCGGTCACGGCTAACGTCAGGTGGCGACTATCATCTGAACCGGGTCTGGCTGCCCTCCCCGCCTTCTCCAACTAGCACTAACCATGCGGGAGAAGTACGGTCAAACAAGGGCCATGACCGACACGGCGTGGTGAGACCTTTATCCAGCAGTAAATTGACAAAGAACCGTGCACGTAGCATTGCATATCGTTGTACGAGAGTACTTCTATTGAATGCTGCTATAATACAGAAGTACTCCTGGTAGGCACTTCTGTCCCAGACAACTGCGCCTGTCACCCCCCTCCCCCTCCCCCCCCCCCGCAAATCGCCGCCCCCCTCCCTCCCCGCGTTATTAACGCCGCTGAACACGTGCGACTGCAGAGCGCGCGAGGAAAGCCCTGGCCACCACGGTAACCCTAGCTCACTTCCTGGCCTCCGGTTTCGCTGGGAAGGCTCTAAACAAGGGCCGTTAGGGGCGCGCCGCTGTGCAGCGCAGCGCGCCGCTACACAGGGGAGCATGGGAAGCAGAGGAGGGGGGGGGGGGGGGCAAGGGGCGGCGGCAGAGGAGTCTTCTCTCGCTCCGCCAATGCTCACGCGCAAGCAACACCCGGGGTGGGGGGGGGGGGGTGGCTTAATTTCTCACCGATGATTTTTTCCCCGGGTCGCTGGTGGACTCGAGTGGATGGTGCGTGTGAGGGGTGGTCACAGCGATCGCGAGAGGAGTGCGGACTCGATGTGGTGCGGAAATATTTTTCGGTCGTGAAAATATTCTTTTTGAGACGTCAGCTGAAATGAATCCCCTGGCTCCAGGTTGAGGAGGTGATACAAACTCCACTTTCCCGCCGGGTTTTTCAGACTCGGGTGATGATGTGTGCAGGGGGGATCCGTTGATGATTGGCATATGAAGGTAACAACGGCCTCCGATGAATCACTCCCCTCGCAATTTGGTTCACTGTTACAATCTGGAGGAAGCATGCACTTGCACATGCTTTATTTGCTGAGGTGGTAAATACAGACTCTCGAGTGGCTGCAGGGTTTACATGACCAAATTACATGCGACGTGTATGAATGAAAAAAATGATCGATTCTGACACAATGCACATATCCTTGATGCAATACATAATTGTAATAGATCAATAGATGCATCATTACTTTGCTCAAAGGCAACGTGTCACAATTATGATTATAATGATGATGCCTCATCAGTGCTTGGGTCCCCATCAGGTCGGGTTCCCCTCTGGATCCGCAAGGGCTGCGAGCGCTCGTCCGGCTGGAGAGAGCACTGCTGATGAGGCCGATGCCAGTGCATTCCAGTTTCTCAGTGGGTCTCTGTGTGAGTCCACGGGTCTCTAAGTGAGTCCACGGGTCTCTGTGTGAGTCCACGGGTCTCTGTGTGAGTCCACGGGTCTCTGTGTGAGTCCACGGGTCTCTATATGAGTCCACAGGTCTCTACGTGGGAAGCTATTGCCAACGAATCTACCCGCACACATTATCACCCGAGACTGGAAAACCCCCGGGTGGAATTTGCAGCCTCGTCCACCTAGTGCCTTGCACCACCACCACCACCAACCACCACCACCACCACCAACCACTAGCACGTCGCGGTGAGCATTCAACTTCGCACCGCCGGTGTCGGGTTTAATTTATTTTGTGCAATTCAAGACTTTTGCCGCCCGGCAGATTATCGCTGCACTTGCACATGCAGTGGCGGAGAGAAACATTGCAAAATTGGGGCTTCCTGACTCTGGCAAGACATGTGAGGGGGGGGAGGGGGGGTGGTGGAGAGCCTCACCTGGCTCCCCGGTTCGCCCTCGCTTGCCCATCCTGCCGGGAGGTCCTGCAACACAGAGGCAACAACCGTCAGACCTCGTGGACAGCCAATGGTGTCCATCCCAAATGACCCCAACAATTGGGGTCAATCTTCAACGTAGCGGTCTGACACGTTGAGGCTCTGTCCCGCAAAGGACGAATGAAAGTAGTCGGGTTTCACCATCCTTCCCTCTCATCCGCTCCTACAGTCCCCTCTTCCCTGGGCCACTATTATTCGCCCTGACCACAACCACCTCCTGAGAAACATTGGCAAGGTTGCAACCACCGACTTCTTCAGAACACATTGACATTTAAACAAGAACAGCTCCTTATTTTCTTTTGTTTGAATAAGTGCCTCTGGCATCATGTTTTTGTGATCGGGAGCAACATCGGCACCATTCCCTCACTGGGTCATGACATTTGATTGGACTGTTATCTCCGTATCCCAATGCTGGATTTCGGTGTTGTTATAGATTTCCCCTCATCTCTCATTACCCCACACCGAAAAACAAAGATCTCCCGTGTAGCCTTTCATTTACTATTTTGGCAAGTGCTGTTAGCGAGCACCTATGAAGATCAGCACGGCACACAATGGGGTGGGTCGTCATTTAAATCTCAGTCGACCTACAGGAGGTCTAAATATATTCCAGCAATGTTAGCCATGGCCAGGGATCAAACTCAGCTATCTGGGTTCATAACACTGTGTGATAACCCATTACGTTATTGCTCCACACACGCATTCACATTGACAAATGCACTCACGCAGTTGTACAAACACTTAGCCAGACACTCTGAACGAGGCTTTCTCAGAGATTGGTGGCGTTAGAGGGTTCTTCCTGCCGTCGAGTGCTAAATACACCTCCTTGTCAATTTATCTGCAGGACTTAGTGGTGGCACTTGACAAATCGGGACACTCGACAGCTGCTCTAGAGCCAGACCAAATGCTATCGCTAATATGACAGACGTGAGTGGCAGCGCTGTAGTGGGGAAATAACAGGGCACTCAACGGCCGCACCGACTCTTCAATCGCGCACTCGACAGCTCAGCGGCGTGACGGCAGGCTGCTTAGGCACAGCGGCTCCATTCGGCGCGCTGCCGATTGATCGTTCACGACGCTCTGCGCGCCGCCGCTGGTCGCGACAGCGCAGAGGCCTCGTTGGGGCTCGGAGGGCCCACGAGGGACTTTTGCCCTCGCGTGGCCCAAGCGTCGAACGAGATCGCACGCGCGATCGCCCGCGAGATCGCCCGGCGCGCCATCGCACCCTCGGGTTGACCGACTGCTAGGGCTGGAACAGCATCGCCTCCGATTTTAAGTGACATCCTTTCCATTGATCTTTTCTACCGCTTAATCAAATTATGCAGAGAGGAAGCTCAGCCGAGGGTGCAAAGCCTTAATATTATTATTATTATTAAAAGCGTGGTTCCAGTTGTGGTTGTGGTGCGGATGTATGGTGGGTGAATCTAGGACGACAGGCCAGGCTCTCTGCGCGCGGGTGTAAGATTAGCAGACGTCTCCGCTGATGCTACAAGGTGCCCCCTCCCCCATATGCTTTGTTCAACTTGAGAAACTTGTGCCGATTTAAAAACAGAAAAATCACTCGACAAACAGTAACAATGTTCGAAGGCAACCAATACCTGTCTTTTTAAGGAATGATAAAAAAAACTGCTCAAAAATAAAACCACCGCCCATTGTGAGCTCCTCAAAATGTTTGCGGGAGCGAGAGAGATAAATCGACAGGGCCACCTGACGCTGACCCTCACGCCGCCTCCTCAAAATCTTCACGGTAAACGTAGCTGCCCGTGTGAAACAAGCACATTTCCATGGTGGCTGACAGGGTGGGGGGAGGGGGCAGAGGGAGGTCACCGCCGATGCTTCTGAGAGTTTGAGAAACTGGACAAAGCAGCAAATAACACGGCGGTCACTCATCCACTTTGTCTGCCGCTGCGTCTTCACGTCACCACAGTTCAAACAACCCTCGCTCGTGAAGCGGTCATCTGTATGTACGTTGAACTTCTTTCGCACCATACGTAGCCATCCGTGCTTATCGGAGGTGCGGGGGAAGGACAAAAAAAAAACTAAACACAAAAAAAACCCGTTCTAAAGAAATGAGTTTCCAATCTACATTGAAAAGTGCACAGCTCCTCTGGCTTCGGAAGGAAGAGCGTCCCAGACGGCCGCAGAAGTGCATCTGAAAGCGCACGATGCGGTGACCACCGTCTTTCGTTCGATGGTTAGCCAAAGGCCGCCACTGCGAGGATGACCGGAGTTTGGCGTGATGGTTTGCACTCCATGTCTGTCGAAAGGGCAGACAGCCGCTGGCTCAAGGGGACAATGCAGCTCTACCGTGGCGTGCGCCGACGTTGTCGTCTGGATGCGATCACGATCACGCTCAGAACAAAATGCTTACTAACGAATATCAAAACGGTAAGCGGTGTTCACAGATGGTTTTGGGGTTTGCCTGAAAAAACTGGCAGAACCGAGCAACGGGTGTTTATCTTGGACAGGTTCACGGGTGCATGACACTTGCCATTATACGCACGCGCTTACACACATGTTTGCGTGTGTATGGCCCACGGGGTACACAGAACACGACCGCACCAGACAACAAGACGAGCAACACACGCATCGTCGACGCAAACCGCTACACAACGCCCATTGTGAGCGGCGCCACGAAATGAATGGATACACACGCTGCAACACACATGGCGCGCGTGCGCACGCAGGCAAAGGCACACGCAACCGCCTGGGGGACTCTCCCGTGCGGCACTTCAACGTGGCCTTTTCATGCCCGCTAATGTTGACGTGCTGGCACGGACACCGGCGTTCGAGCGTGCGCACGCGATTTGGCCACTACGCGCAACAGGGGCGGTAAATGGGGATCTCCCCTGAATCTCTCTGAATCCAAGCGCAAGCCGATGCTGCCCGCTGCTGCTTCTGCCAGGCCTACGTGGCTTTTGTTTGAACAATCGTACGCAGCATCGAACAACATCCCACAGACAGGCATCGCTCGCTACAAATTGGTCCCTTGTACGACAACGACAAAAAAAAAATCGCTGGGCTGTGTCTCCGACGGCAATCGCACATGCTGCCAGCCGTTGCTGCTGACCGCCAAAAAAAATACACCTGTGAACATAGGGCAGTGGAAGCTGAACGAAGGAGCGCGTTCGCGTTGGCGTGATTCGCCGGTGACCAAGAGGCTTGAGCAACTAATGCGTGCGGTTTATTTATTCCTGCTCACGTCCGGCCCGTCATGTGCCCTGTGATGGCAGCGACGCCTCACGTGGTGTGCATGCGCGCACTTTAATGTTTTTGGTAAGACACTAAATGAATGCTTCTAAATGTTTTTTTTTTAGATAAGAAACACTCGCGGTGATGAAATGAAAAATGAGAATGTGCCAATTTATTCCATGGATGCAGATCAGATATTTTAATCTCTGTTACCACTTAAATTGTTTTTTGAAAACGTGAATATGACTGAATTGAAACATTTTCACATTGGCAGTGTCGTATATCTATCTCCGCCGTCCTCCATCAACAGCCGTCAATTAGAGATGGCTTCCACACCCCACCTAGACCCATCCTTGTTTGCCAAAGACGAAAAACAGGCAAGGGTGGAATGAGTAAAAAAAAAACATACACGCGTGTTGAGGTTTATCTTGTTAATAAATGCCTGGTTGTGGCACGAGCGAGTGGAGAGCTGACAGGAGTGCGCTTACCGCAAGCATGTTGTGCTGGGCGACAACAACATTGCCCTGTTTGGTACGTGTGTGTGTGTGTACGCGCACATGTACAGCCGCAACACTCAGCCTCGTGTGTGGGCACTCGTTAAAACAGCTGTGCGCAGATCCAGGGATTATACAGAGCAAGGACGGCACAAGGAGGGAGGACATTTCCTCATTGTCATGAAGACATCCAGTCATGGGGAGAGCCACAAGGGAGTTTTTGGGGGGCGAGGAGTGAGGTTTTGTAGCTCTGCTTTGTGTCGTCGGATGGCACTGAGCAATTGCGGGATGGTGACGTTATGAAAGGGTGTCGCAGATCATCATGGTCACTGGTTATTGTTATCACTGTGAGGTGGGTCACAGCATTGCAAATTTACCTGGGAGAGCAGTATGACGGCGTTATTGAAACGCCCAAAATCACGAAGAGTGGAGTTAGCTATGAGTGGACCTACTCATAGGAAAGGTGGGTACTCGGGTGATGCAGCAGTGGAGATGGGAAACAATGAAGCAGTCTGCCACACAGTTCATGAAGCAAATCTGCTCGTGGTGGGTGACGATTTCACGTGGCCTGGCCCGAAAGAAATGCCCCAGATGACAGCTGCTTCCAATGCTGATTGAGGCACGACGAGCGTGCTCTGAAATTTGTACCGTGCTCCGTGCGTGTGAAAAACCCAGCACTTGCACCCAAAGGTCTGCTAAGGCTATACGGGGGATATTTATCTTTGTAAAAAAATACATCTCGCCCGTCCACCGCATTACACGCCTGCCACCGGCGTCATTCCGAAAATGCGGTAACGCGACCCCGTCAGCGGGCGTCCCCTTCGCGAAGCGCAGCTTCGGAAACAACGCAAAGCGAACAGATTAGAAGCAACGGTCTCGGCAAGGCGGCTCGTGAGCTGGATAGTCGGCACGCCGTGAGAACGAGAGACGGGGGGGTGGGGGCAGAGGGGGGAGGGAGCTGGGGTGGGGGGTTGGGACCTCCCAAGTCCCCTTGGGGCCAGAGTCGGCACGCCTTTGATCTCAGGCTCCCGCTCAAGAGTAGCAGCAATGCTTGGTGCTACATAACGAGCGTTATCAGAGCTGCCTCCTCTGCCCCCTCTGCCACCGCTGCCTCCTCCTGCGGGCTTCGTGGGACTGTGATGGGAAGAGGGTGCAGGTGGGTGAGATTATGGGGGGGGGGCTCTTTTAAGATGCTTTTTTTATATATCAAACTGTCTGGCAGCTCAAAATAAATTCCCTCATGCCGAAACGGCGATGATTATTCGTCAGAATCTTAACTTAATCAAATTGTCAAAAGTCCGGTTA